GAGGAGTGGTGACCCCCAACTTTTGAATTTAGGGGCTTGGTAGTTAATTTAACCTTTTTGGATATATATATATATATAGTACTATTACAAATACAAGGGTAACCTTTTCTGGGCTCGGGTATAGCCCCTAAGTGAAGTTTTCGGGATGAGGGTTTAGGGTTGGTTCGGATCACTTTTGGGACACCCTCAACCCCAGACCCTAAACCTTAAGCAAAAACCCTAGTCCCTTAATTCCCAAACACCACACTGAACTCTAAACCCAAACCGGCCCCAACAGCTCAACCCCCTAAACCCCTCCCGGATTGGGTCCCCCGGTATGTATATCGTGCTCTTGCGGGCGTAGGTCTTTGTGCCTCTTTGTTTTGTGCACGGCTTCAGGGCTTTCCGCGTCCACTCAAACAATCCGCTGGAGCCTGTGCCCAAGGCTATTCACATTCCTGGGCCCACTGTGGGGGGTAAAAGGGCTGTTACGTTTCAAAGGGTTCGAAGCATGGCTTTCGTGCAACCGCGCCTACCACCTCTGCCGGCCGCGTTCCTCAATGTCCATGACGACTCTCTGGACTCGTCGCGCGTCCTGCGGCGCTGTAGCAGCTTCCCCGGCTACACGCCCTTCGAGCTCGACCCGAACTTCGGCGAAGCTTCCGAGGCCGAAGATGCTGCTGCGACTTGGCCAGACACCGACGAGGAGGGCTTGGGGCGCCTTGGGGCGCCATGGTCCAGCAGCACCTTGGGTCCGCGAGCCGAAGAGACGTCGGAAGACAGCTGCAAAGGTGGGGGTCTACTAAAATAAGGGACCCTACTAAAGGCCCCCAAAAAGGTAGGATTTTCCTTATAATGAAAATCCCAATAAGGTACCCCCGAATTTCGGAAACCTGCAGGTGTCCCTGTCTTGGAGGGCCTCTGTCTCACACCCCTGGGCCCGCCGCCCACCGAGACCGGCATTGATGAGTCGATGGCAAAGCGCCCGAGTCCCATGAAAGTCACTAGGACCCAGCTTCGGACCCTTGTTTTTTGTTTTGGGTTTAGGGTTTAGGGTTCTTAGGTTTCCATGTCACAGGATGCCCTTTCCGTTCCTAGGTTGCCGCTGGACTTAGGTCAGGGTGAAGCCGGAAAGTGCAACTCCAGCAACGCACACAAAGCAGCCCGTGGTCCCTACTTTGTTGCGCATGACAAGGGCGTTGTTGCCAGGCCGTGAGGGGAACGCGCTTCTGTCTACACAGGTGGTCCATGCACTCCCGGGCACTGCGGACTGCAGCCCTATTTCACAGGTATCGAAGCAAGTGGTGCAAGCCCCCTGCTGCCCTCCCTCTCACACGTCGCAGCAAGTGATGCAAGCCCACCGCAGCCCTACCTCGCAAACGTCGACGAACATGACGCAAGCCCAGCGTGCTGGCGCTCAAGTCGTGCGAAAGACCAGACGCATGATGCCTGCCGTGACTCGGCCGTACTTCAAGGCATGTCCTACTAATTGCTTAAGAACCCCCCCCCTCCCCCAAAAACAATAATATACTAATAATATACTTCCTTATAAGGGTAATATAGGGATTGTTTTTATTCTTTTTGGGGTTCTTGAGCAAATAGTAGGTTCTTCCATAGTAAGGGCACCTACTTAGATGGTGCTTATTCAACGGGTTCAAAGCAAAGCTCAGGTGGATCCGGAGCAGTTGGCCCAAGTTTCGCCTTCTTCGCCTTCGACGCGGCCACGGAGGCCGTTCCTTTGTCAGAGTGGGGCAACAATTTTACATGTTTAAGGGCACTTAAACTCAATAAGGAACCTAAACCCTAAACCCTAAACCCGAAGATGTCAGTGCTTTAGTTCCTAAACCCTAAACCTAAACCCTAAACCCGAAAATGTCAGTTTTTTAGTACTATTTCCACCATGAACTAGGTCCGGGCGGCCCACGAGTCCCAAGAGCCCATCCTACAAGCCGCGTTGACGGACGCCAGACGCCCCTTTCTATGGTTGGCGGCACAATCTGGGCGCCCATGAAATCTGAGGTTTAGGGGTTTAGTAACTCTAGAGGCCTTGGTCATTTGAAGGGGTGCCTTGGGTCGGCTTCAAGAGATGGTCTTCGTGTTTGGGATCCGGTGTCAAGCCGCAGGAACTCTCGCGCAGGTGGCCTTTGATTCTGGGGGCGCTGGTCAACCGCTGAATAGAGCCGAGCAGCAGGGTTTAGGGTTATGGGTTTTGGGTTGAAATGCCGGATAGGCCCCAACAAAGGACATGCTTTCTTCGAGAGATAGCTTGTGAAGGATCTTCAGCGGTTGCATCGCCTGCACCCCAGTCAAATCGGACGCCTGGGGTGGGTTTAGGGTTTGGGGTTTAGGGTTTGGGGTTTTGGGTTTAGGGTTTAGGGTTTGGGGTTTAGGGTTTGGGGTTTAGGGTTTTGGGTCCGTGACACTTTGAAATCAACTCCGATGGCTCAGGGGAGGGGCTGATGGCCACCTTCTCATCGGCCTGAAATCTTAAGCCCCAAACCCTCAACCCCCCAGACTGCAAAAATAGTCTGAACCCCAATAATTTCCCTCACCCTTCACCCCTCACTGGGCCACGCACTACTTGAGAGCTCACTTGGGTTCAAGTTACCCATCAGTGAAATTCGGCCTGTTCGCATCATAACAGGGCCGGGTATCGGAGCTTGCCATCAGCTCCCTTTACAGCTTCTACATGGGGGTTTACGATCTTAGGGTCTTGGGCCTTACTATCAGGGGATCCTACTATGTGGGGGTCTATATTTAGGGGTCCCTTGTTTTCGTAAGCCCCCGTAGGCTTTTTTGTTCGGCGACCTTGCTCTCCGGCACAGCCCGAGTCAGGTGAGTTTTGATTGGGGTTGGCCACTAAACCACCTAAATCCCCGGAAACCCCTAAACCTCCTAAACCCTAAACTCTAAACCCCTAAGACCTAAACCCGACTACTGAAAGGACCCTTCTGGCCCAGCAAGAAGGGCACTCTGAAGAGGCTTTAGGCTTTAGGCTTTAGTCTTTAGGCTTTAGGCTTTAGGGTTTAGGTTTTAGGGTTTAAGGTTTATAGGGTTTAGGGTTTATAAGGTTTAGGGTCTAGGGTTTAGCACGGGCATTTCACACAATACGGTTCGGGTTCTCTAAGCCGTTATCCCTCATGGAGTTCCCAGGAGTACGGTCACGGATGTCGTGCATTTCCGAAAAAGCCCCTCCGCACTATACCTCGAAGGAAAGCAATGAGTACAATCCTCATTGCAGGAGCTCCTCCAAAGAAGACGTGACCACCCCAGAAGGGGTTGTACAGTCGCTTCTTACCCCCCTGGGCCCTAAACACTGTCCTCTACTGGATGATTCGGAGCTGTCTACGTTGCATGCTGAAGATTGCGAGCGCCACTGTTCAGGGGTATAAGGAGGGACCGCTATATATATACACACATATAGACTATGTATATATTTATATGTATCTTTTCGAACCGCTATATATCTAGGTAGCTCCTAAAAACCCCCTAAATAAGCCCTGAGGTCCCTTATAAGGATCCCTCCTTTATGTCCCTCGAGTCACTGTATGTCGGTGGAAAGTGTTGCTATCAGAGACTCCCCTCTGCTCTTAAGGAGCGGACGGTACTATCCTTCGGGGCTCAGACACCAAACTGCCAGCTTTATACCCAAGACCTCAACAGGGTGTGTTGCGTGAACCCAGTTGAAAGGTTTAGGGTGAAGGGTTTAGGGTGTAGGGTTTAGGGTTTAGGGTTCAACGCCTCTAAGTCCCTATCTTGGTGGCTGATCCCTGCTGATCCCTGAGGTGACCAGAGCGGAACCCATCTGATCTCATGCATGTGCGCCTGCTTTTGTGGCAAAAAGCTCTAAGCCTTGTGGAGCAAATGAACCCGGTAAAGGGGATTATAGAGTATAGGGTATGTGTCCCCTAAGCCCCAAATCCTAAATCCTAAACCCTAAACCCTAAACCCTAAACCCTAAAGCCCTCCAAAGCCCTAAACCCTCAGCTGCAGAACTTCTGAGCCCCCGTAAGCCGCTTCAAGACGCAAACGCTTAGACTCCTCAACTCTCAACCCCAGGGTTTAGGTGGTTTAGGGTTTAGGGTTTAGGGTTTAGGGTTTAGGGTTTAGGGTTCAGGGTTCAGGGTTCAGGGTTCAGGGTTCAGGGTTCAGGGTTCAGGGTTAGGGTTTAGGGTTTTAGAGTAAACCCTAAAGCTGACACTCCGAAGCGCAACCCTAGGGCCCTAAACTTCTATGCCCTTAAAACTCCCTAAGCCCCTAAACCCTCAATCCTAAGCCCCCTAAGCCCCTAAACCCCTAAACCGCCAAACCCTACACCCCCAAACCCTCAACCCTCAGCCCTAAACCCTAAACCCCTGAACCCCTAAAAGCCCCCTAAAAGCACCCCAAAAGTACTCCAAAAAGCCCTCCCAAAGCTCCCCAGTCGGGATCAACTTCAGCGAATTTCGGCAATTGTTGGCAGAAACCCACCATCTTTTTTTTAAACTCTGACGCCAGTGTCTTGTTCAGTCGCCCTAGTCCGATGTGAGGGGTTTTGGGTTCAGACTCGCATGCTCAGAGCTTGTCTTGTAGATTTGCGGCTCAGGAGAGAGATGCAACATGCAAGTAAGCGCAACTCAACTTCAAAAGCTTGAGATGCGGTTGGAAACAACCGAAGCCTACTTTCGATCATCAAGCACGAATCGGCAATTTCCCCTAAGCCGCCCTGCAAATCAAATTGCCGAGCTCAGGGAGGCTCCACGGCTGAGCATCTGCGACTGACTCCAGCAACTGCTTCTAGAAACACAAGGTTTGATCATGGGAAGTTAGAACTACATACTGACTTGCTAGCAACCATGGAGCTGTAGCAATCCGTGAACACTAAAGGCTCTGCAACTCAGGACACGTACTCTGAACCTCGGCCACCCACCTAACGCCCCAACTCACTTTGAGAGCTCTTGCACAGATAGTCCGCCTTGCATCCCCTGAGAAGCAATCAAGATCCACTGCGCAACGTGTCTGGGACGTCAGCAGCTGCTGCAATGCTGAGGTGCTTTGGAAGCTTTCCTGCCCTTGTCAATGTGTTGAAAGTCGCGTTCGGGCTTCAGAACATCCGCCTGCCTTGACGTTAAACCTTGTCTTCCCACGGGTCTGGGGCAGATAATCAAAATCAAGGGGCCAAGGGTAATGTCCAAACGGCACCCTCTAGATTTTACATCTTAAACCTTGAACAAAACGTGGTGGCCAGAGATTTTTCGATTGGGGTCCAGTTTGGGATCCGGCCGAAAAATCACTTTTTCACACGTAGGTCACACGTAGGTACCTGTAGTATCCAAGGGAAGCAGTTCTATGTTTTTTCTTCGTGGTTTCAGCTGGGCCGCTGGATAGCTCCCCGGATCTGCATAAAGCCCCACACCACCACTCAATATTGGGCCGCCATGGGCATCTGTGTTTATGACTTCTCTCGGCTTTTGCGTTATTGCGACATTTTCGGAGTTGCAAGGGTTTCGGGTTTAGGGTTTCAGGGTTTTGGGGTTTTAGGGTTTTAGGGTTTTAAGGTGTTAGGGTTTTAGGGTTTAGGGTTTTAGGGTTTTAGGGTTTTAGGGTTTTAGGGTTTAAGGGTTTTAGGGTTTAGGGTTTAGGGTTTAGGGTTTGGGGTTTATGTAGGGCTCACCCAACAGGTGCTTTCCCCGACCCCTGATTATCGTCAACAGATTTACAGTTCGTAGTTGCTCGGACAGCGATTGAACGTGGTGCCTTGGTGGCCCCGAAGCCTGAAAGCCTGAAAAAAAAAGCTTGGAGTTGTTTTATTTTTCAGGTTGAAGCTTGATTTTCGGTGCTTTGGGCGAGATGTCGGTAAGGCTCGCACTCGTAACAGACTTCCTCCGTATTTGCCCCAGCTTTGTGGCTCGGAGTTGGGTGCTTGGAGATGTTTCGTCATGTCATGCAGGTTATGGGCCCTTTCCTGCGCCTTGCTACTGAGTGCGGCCCGCGAGGTGGGGTTTGGAGTCGGGTTCGATGGCTTCGCAGGCTTACTAGCGTCAGGCCGCAAAGCATGGTAAGCTCCACCTGCGCATCCGAAACCCGAAACCCTAAACCCTGAACCCTGTTTGGGTGGAGGTAGAAGCAGCTTCGGAGGGGCTTGACCCAAAAGCAATCCTAAACGTAGGATGCCGGGGTGAAGTGCGAACCCAACCAAGCAGATTCATCTTTGGTTGTTGTTTGTTTTAGGAGTGTTGGGTTTTGGTGTTTCCTGGCTTAGAACTGTAGTGGGGAGGGTACATACTACGCGAAAAAGCTTTTAAATTCTGCCCTGTCCAAAGGTCCAAGAACACTCTTAAAGAAAACTACAAGGAAAAATCCCCCGAGAAGGGGTGCACAAATCAAAAGCTGTCCAACAGCCCCAAAGAGCTTATCATTTAGACACACCGTCCCTGATCAGACTGAAACACATAAATATTCAGATTTTTCAGATCTATTTCCCCACCCTCGGTACGGGGTTGTTAGATTCTAAGCTAAACTCTTAGATTTCCGGAGTGTCCATGCCCAACCCCAGAGTCCCCAGAGAGCGCACAACCCCAGATTATCCACATAGAGTCCCTAGAGTGCCCAACCAGAGAATCCAACCCGGTGGAGATGCGGCGCCCAGCAAATCCCTGGAGTGCCCAACACCAGAGTGTATTCCCAGCAGAGAACCCCAGAGTCCCTCCACAGAATGCCTGGAGTGCCCAGTTCCAGAGTTTCATGTTGCCAGAACATAGGAACTCCTCAAAACACAGCCAATCACAGTGGCCTTCGCATCTCAATAATAAAACATGTTGGTGTTGGTTCCCCTCCCCAACCGGCAGTGTTTAGGGCCAAAAAAGGTTCGTATGCCCATTATGTATGGTGACCGGAAGAACCTTGCTCAAACGCGCGGTTCAAACTGTCAAAAGCATCCCTTCGTCACTGTTGCAGAGCGGCCACTTTCGCCCAAAGTATGCCCGTGTGGATGGCGAGGCAAGGCTCGGGTCATTCGGGGAATTCACGTTTAGCGTTCCGCCTTAAGAGGTTGCAGTCAGGCGGGCTTTTTACTACAGATCATATTTGTAAGCTATCGCAGAGTACAATGCAGGGCATCTGCGTATGACTATCAGCTGGCTCTTAGTTTACGCAGTTCGTCAAAGCTGTTCATTGCAACCCTGCAGGGTAGGAAGTACGGCGATGCAAAGAACAGTGTGGTTGTAGGGTTTAGGGTTTAGGGTTTCATTAAGGTTTAGGGTTTAGTGTTTAGGGTTTAGGGTTTAGTGTTTAGGGTTTAGGGTTTAGGGTTTAGGGTTTAGGGGTTGCAGCTGCCACCTCTAGTGAAGCTGAACGGTGCTTGTCATGTAGGGAGCCTTGAGGTTTGCGTGCCCAAAGCCCAAACTCCACATCTTTACCCCAACCTGAGATGCTAAGACCTTAACATTTACAATTTACAGACGGGCTCAAGGTTTAAGAGCCAGATGAATCCAGTGTACTGGGCTGTCAGAAGCAGCATCACATGCGCACAGAGCACCCGCGTGAACGTTTGATCGTTTCCAAAAACTGCAAGCGTTGCTTCCACGAGCAGTTGTGGCATCGTCTAGACTTCCTTCACATGTCGTTCTGGGAGTTGGAAACAGCACGGCTGAATCTCTGGAGACCATGAAGCATCCAAGGTGCACCGTAGCTCTCTAAACCCGACATCCTGACCCTGACACCCAAACCTTCAGCCCAGATCCACACAACTCGAGGCCGGCACCTAAGCCACCCCAAACCCCAACAGGGTCTAGTGAGTTCAAATGTAGGGTTTAGGGTTTTCGGGCTTAGGGTTTCGGGTTTAGGGTCTCCCCACAATTTAATTTAAATGAGTTAAACTCATCGTAAAACCCTTAACCCTATCCCACCTAACTTATTCTCCAAAGTTTGGCGCGCAGAGGTCGAGACTCTGTGGCAGCGGCCTGCCGTGGAGCCGAAAGGTCGCGGTTCGGGGCACTGAGGGTTTAGGGTTTAGGGTTTAGGGTTTAGGGTTTAGGGTTTAGGGTTTAGGGTTTAGGGTTTAGGGTTTAGGGTTTAGGGTTTAGGGTTTAGGGTTTAGGGTTGAGAGCTTGGAGCGCAGGCTTTAGAGTTTAGGATTGGGATGTTCCCCCCTAAAACCAACTGTCCTTAATGGGGGATTATGGTCCCCCCTAGTATAATCCTTATCAAGGACTGTTAGTATAAGGGGGATCGCGAGTGCAGGGCCTCAAGGTTTGGGGGTTGTTTTCACTCTGAAGGGAGTTTGGGGAGCCATCCTATCATCCAACTCCTGAAACTCAGCACGAAGATCCTGTACCCCCACTTGGGTTCACGAAACCAATCGTGCTTGAGAAAAGTCGTGGGGATTAGGGCGGGGTTGGCCTTCCTTGCTGATCATCCTCGAATTCGCATCCGCCACGAAGCCTCAAAGTCAGGCGGCGGCTTAGGGATGTTGAAGAGACCCGAGCCATCCTAAATCCCCGACCAACGCACAGACCCCCCAGCCCTGGACCTGCGAAAGTGGAGACCAGGCATCTTCTTCATCGCTCACGGATGCCAACATCAGGGGACCGACGTGTTCGATGAGGCCAAGACCAAGGTTCAGACCATGAAGACGAGGATCCCACAAACACAACCAATGGATCCCGGAGCCCCAACTCCTTCATGCTGTTGCATCCCAAGGACACCCGAAACTTGAAATCAGGAAAAGGGTCCAAGGCAAGGCGCCCAGATCGCCTGAAGCCGGGAATTGGATCCCTCCGGGGGCTTCAACAGGCGTAGCCCGGCCCCCTGTGATTCAAAAACGCCTGGGTGTCAATCTGTAAACCTTTTGTGAACTTCCCCACGCCTCAAGACTCAGAAACAAAGCACGAAATTGCAAGCAACCGCCATGCTCCACCGACAGCCCAAGCTTGATACCTCCGGAGGTGGCAGAAGACGGCTGGAAGTTCGATGACTGCGACACTGGGATCTGAAGAGGTTTTGTGGGATTTGGAGGAGCTTCTGAGAGTCTTGGGCTAGAAGTAACCCCGTTTTGCTGCCTGGGATTTGAGATGCTAGAAGAAAGCGTCACGTGCGCTAGAACGTATAGCACCCCTTGCCGCGTCCTAGCGCGTCGTCTGGAGTTGTGCATCCCGATGCACGCCCGATACCCTTAGCACAGCGAAGCAAGTTTTTCAGAGCCTCGGGTTGAATATTATTCCAGAACACTCAGCAGGTGCAAGCCCCAAGTCACACCCCTTTTTTGGAAACAGCGCTTTAGGCTCTCTCTCTCTCTCTCTCACCATGTGTGGGGGTACCTGACTGGCGTCCGTATTATAAGGGGATCCTATTGAGGGTCTATGTTAGGCCCCCCCCCCCCCCGCCCCGCCCCCTATTTTCGTATAAAACCCTAAACCCTAAACCCTGAACCCTCAACCCTGAACCCTGAACCCTAAACCCTACACCCTACACCCTACACCCTACACCCTGAACCCTGAACCCTAAACCCTAAACCCTAAACCCAGGCGACCTCGAACTACGGGAAGTGCCTCGGTCTGCCGGAGGAGGCTGGCAGACCAGGGCACGCCCAAGGGTGGTTCTAAGTGGTGTTGTTGGGTTTTGGGTTAAGGGTTTCGGGTTTAGGGTTTCGGGCTCAGGGTTTAGGGTTTGGGGTGCAGGGTTTATGGTTGAGGGATGGCCTAGTATTGGTTCAGGGGGTATGTTCGGTTTGCGGTTTATGGGCTGGGGTTTACAAGGCTCACGATTTGCAGCACTTGGGGATTTCATTGCCAAAACATCCAGGGTGTAGGCAGAATTCAATCAAGGATCATCGGCGGCTTCTGTGACTTGGTTTCCTTTTAGCTCATCTCAGAAGCACGAAACATCCCATTTTCGTAGCGTGGTTTGTAGCAAAGCGTATTTGACGTGGATTGGTGCGAGTGGCACAAAGAAGGTTATGTCGCAAGGCCTCGTCACGTCATGTCCGCTGTGGTTCTCTCGTTTATATTAATAGTGCAACTGCAAGCCGAGCCGAGCACTTGCCAAGAAATCCAAAAGCTTCGGCTCGGACATGGTCGTTTTCGTATACAGCGCAGAACGAAACGCTGCCCTCAGGCCGCCCTCTGCTGAGCACCGAAAAGTTGGTGTTTGAAGCACTTTGGTGACGTTTGTGTTTTCGAACGCCCATGGTGCATCGTCTGCTTTGCTTTTGCCCGGCAAACCCTTTTGTGAAGTCGTGCCAGGGATGGACCGGCTCTGCTCATAGGTCTCCTGATGGGAAGCCCAAGGCTGAGGAGATCCCGTTTTTAATCCCTCCCATCGCCGGATTCGATCGTGACTGGTGTTACGCGAGCGGTTAGTTCCTTGGTCTGTCGTGTCTGTCAGGGGAGAGCAGGCGGCCTCCGCGTTCGGCGGTTGGACTTCTCGACTGACACGACAGTGCTGCCCTCCTTCGAGCTGCCCTTTACGCCATGGTCTTGGGTGTCGCTTCGGCGGGCAGGCTGCGGATGGCGCGCTGTTGATTGTCTTCCCCTAAACCTCCCCTAAACCTTTCTGCTCACTTGTGAAGTCTGCCCGCCGCAAGTCAGCACTGTTTGGGTCGTTTACGCCGGTGCGAGTAGGCTGGAGGTTCAAAGCTCCGGCTGTCGCTTGCCAAATTCGGACTCTGGAGTTGAAGCCTCTTGCTGAGTTGAGGGCCCCTAAACCCTAAACCCTAAACCCTAAACCCTAAACCCTAAACCCTAAACCCTAAGGGCGATTCAGGGATCGTGGCGGGGTTAGAACGCTTATGCCTGACTGAGTAAGGTTGAGATTCAGCATGTGAGGTTGGAGGATTCGTGTGATGCCGCTGGTGTTAGAAAAAGCTTTTGGTAGCTTAGCGCAGGGATGTGTTGGGGGAGGGGATTCTGGTAAAGAATCCACTAATTGCTTAAGAACCCCAAAAAACCAACAAAATAGTCTTCCTTATTAAGGATACTATATTCTTTTGTGGTTCTTAAGCAAATAGTGGGAATGGCACTCCGTAGCCTGATCACTGAAATTTCCGCCTCTCGCAAGGGGGCCTTGCGCCGGTACGCCTTGTCACGGGGCTATGTCTCTTGGCTCCGAGAAGTAGGGCGTAGATATGCGTAGATGGTTTTAAGAGGGTTTGCGATTTGCATCTTGTTTTGCATCTTTGAATGGCCCCTGAGCAAGTGTGTCCACCATCCGAGGTTGTGATGGCCGTGTCTGGCGGAAGCGGCGTCCGCAGCTGCTGGTGGGAGCGGAAGTGGGCTTTGTTAGTTCTTCCCTGTTTGGGCTTTGTGCGGCTTCGGGGTTGGGGCTTAGGATATCTGCATGTCACAGGGAACGGGACTGGCAGCATTGAGGGCACTTATTCCTGCCCCCTCAACCCCCGAAACCTAAATTTTATAGGCCGGTCAAGGGCAACCAAAATTTCCAAGAAGCCAATACGCCACTAAACCTTAAACCCTACCTGTGCACCAGAGTCTCACAAACCTACGGGCCTTATTCCCTGCGGCAGCTGAAATGTTTGGGCATGTAGGCTCGCGGGGGTTCGGCGGCGGGTGTGTCCTGCGTGTCCTGGATACTCTTACTCAAGAAGTTTAGGAGGGGGGTGGGGGTGGGAGGACTGGTGGAGGGTGGAGCAGGGGGAGTCCACAGACCCGGCGGATGAATTTGCTCATGCGGAGTCTTTCCAGATGCAACCTGGGTGATCCTGCAGTAGTTCTACTGCAATTGGTCGATCGTGATTCAGCGTTTGCAGGTATGGCGCAAGAGATGTTGCCAAGGCGGCTCGGCTGCTGAGGCAATACCATCTTCGTCAGGTCTGGAGAAACACTTTGTGCTTTCTGCGTGAGTGCAGGGGATTTAAGGAGCTTATGTTCGTGCCGACGGTACAGAGATTGAGTCTTTCGGGCCACTCGTTTTGACATTGGTGGATCGAGAAGGAAGAGGCCAATGACAAGAACTGCAAAGTACCTGCTGAATTCAGTGTTACATGCTGGGGCTCGACTGGTCTCCCACAAGGAGCCCTCATGGAGCCAAGCCCACTTTGAGAGGCATGGACCCAACACCAAACGAACTTGCCAAGTGGACACAGATGGCCCTGCTACTCGTACTCCAAAGCAAGCAGTTACAGGCTCATTTGAACATTTTTGGGTCGAAATCGCCACTGCATTTATTCGGAACCAAGGGCTGCTGTTCAAAAGTGACGTTTCCAGGCCTCTTCCCTACATTCGATTTTTCCTCACTTCTGCCAACTCCCAATCCCCTTGTTTTTGGAGTGTTGTATGCTAGGGAACTTACAGACATCGTCCAGAATTTTGTGTCTGTTTCCACCTAGGTGGGTGCAGCTGTGCGCCACGTCAGGAATGTCGAGCAGCTTCCTGCGTGCCTTCGACTGTGTTCATGGTGCAAGGCTTTTTTTGGGTTGCGCTTGGAATGTTTCCCCTTCTACTAGAGTGGAATAGGGGGTACTATATTCCCAAAAAAAGGACTGTTAGTATAAGGAGGAACATCCCAAGGCTGCAGTTTTAGGGTGTACAGAGGGTGCCGATCGGCGGATTCCGGGCAACCAGCACCCGCGCAAGGTCCTAGACTGTTGAAGCAGCAAAAATCAGAATTTTTGCTGGGGTTCCAAGTACAGTATTGTCTAGGCAGTCTAGCATATTGAGTCCGCATTTTTGGCATTCTATATGGCACGTTAGCTTCTCGAGACGGCACTGTTGCAACTTACACCATCTTGATGACGTATAGCTTGGCTGATGCAACTAGAGTAGTTTATAACGCCCCCCAAACTCTCCACTACTTGATTAGCCGATGCCAAGAATCTTCTCAAAAACCTTGTCTCTAATAGTTCAGGACAACCCGAAAGGCCCCAGTCCTTTTTCGAAAGGTGGACCCGCGGAAAGGCTTGTGGGGTGTAGGGGTTAGGGTTTAGGGTTTAAGGTTTAGGGTTTAGGGTTTAGGGTCTAGGTTTAGGGTTTAGGGTAAAAGGCTCATGCGTTCCCCTAGGGTTCTCCGCGACATGACGGCCAAGCCATCGGGGGACGGCTGTGGGGCGTGCTTACGCCACTTTAAAGTTCACACATGCCAGCGATGAAGTGGCATTTGCATCAGCAGGCCTTCCTACATGCAGACGCGTGCCTAATTGTCAAGCTATGGCTTGAGTGTTTGGCTTGGGCTTGTGTGGGAAGACTAGAGTTCGTGCAACATCGATACACCAGATGGGCTTACACATAAACAAGTCCTCTCTTATGCCGGAAGCATGGGATGTTACCCCTTATACTAGCTGAACAGTCCTTAATAGGGACTAGAGTACCCCTTATTCTAATCCCTATTAAGGACTGTTAGTTAGTATAAGTGGGAACATCCCAACCCTAAACCCTAAACCCGAAACCCTAATCCCTAAACCCTAAACCCTTTCAAGACACCCCTGACAGGGATCTCCCGCTGCTGGCTCTCGGGGCCTCCTCCGGTGGTGTTCCTTGGCATCGGCTTGCGGCGCAGGAGGTTTAGGGTTTAGGGTTTGGGGTTTAGGGAGGGTTTGGGGTTTAGGGTTTGGGGTTTGGGGTTTAGGGTTTAGGGTTTAAGGATTCACTTTCGGGGGTTGGATTGAGCCCCTGCGGATTGGGAGGCCTTGAGGCTTCAGGTTTGGAGGTTGAGGTCTGAGGTCTGGGGTCGTTGTTCGGGGCGGTTTTTTTGAAAGAAAAACATGGGCAAAATTTGGGTGCAGGCTTGTGGGGTTTGGGTCCACTGTGAAGGCCAGTGTAGGCAACCAGTTCCCAGCCCTCGTACCACCAGGCTCGAGGCCTCTGGAAATCAGACGGTCATCTACTATTTGATCAAGAACCCCCCCCCAAAAAAATGATAATCCCTATATTACCCTAAAAGGAAAAGGTTTTTTACTTTGGTGTATTTCTTAAGCAGTTGTTCGTCCTAGCCCACTCACGCACACCCGGCCGTCTCGTAACCACCCAAGCCCATGACATGCCATCGCCCACGACGCCCTTGCAAACTCGAGCCCCTAAACCCTAAACCCTAAACCCTAAACCCTAAACCCTAAACCCTAAACCCTAAACCCTAAACCCTAAACCCTAAGCCCTAAACCCTAAACCCTAAACCCTAAACCCTAAACCCTAAACCCTAAACCCCAAACCCTAAACCCTAAACCCTAAACCCTAAACCCTAAACCCTAAACCCTAAACCCTAAACCCTAGACCCTAAACCCTAGACCCTAGACCCTAAACCCTAAATGCCAAGCCCCAAAGCTTCATGGCTGGGATCCGAGGCGTTTGTGGGTCTACTGCCTGGGGCGGACGCATCCATTGGACTCGGAAAGCTGCACCGGGGCTGGGAGTAATCGCTTGGGCTAAATGAGGATTCATAATAAGGATTCATAATCAGGATTCATAGTAAGGGTTCATAATAAGGGTTCATAGTGAGGATTCATAATAAGGCTTCATGCCTGTTCTAAGCTTAAGGGGTCAAGGTTTTGCACTTTGGTCATCGGCCCGTCTGAAACAAAAGGGCAGAAGTACCCAACAGAAACCTAAACTCATGCACTGTCCACAGCTGAAGCCGTTAAAGAACTCGCATCAACAGCCCAATCAATGTTACAAGTCTCCATTCAACCCAGTCGGAATCGGGATTGAGATGATACTAACAGTCCTTAATGGGGATTCTAGTACCCCCTATTAGAATCCCTAGTAGGGACTGTTAGTATCAGGGGGAACATCCCAGGATAGGGGGGCTTAGTTTAGGAGGGCTAGGGCTTGGCGATGCTTTGTGGAGCTCGAGGCAGTGCATTGTTCCAGAGATCATGGATGTGGACAGCAGCGTCAACAATGGTGTGCCGACGCTGTTCATCCACATGCCCAGGCGGGGCAGCAAGACCCTGGTGTCTACTATAGGAGTCGGAAGAGTACCTGATAGTATTCCCTTATGGTCCCTTTGTAATTGTAGCAGCATCCCCGAAGCCCTGTTCGAATTATTCAGGCCCCCCTACATTACACCCTTTTGTAGGGTACTGGGTCTGCAGGAGAGGGGAGTTTGGCTGAGCTGTCACCCCTGAACCTGAAAACTACAACCCTGCGGAAACGCTAAACCCTGAACCGTAAACCCTAAACCCTAAACCCCTCAAACTGAGGGATGAACGCACTGCAGCTTTCGTGGCGGAGAGCATCGGTGACCTTACTGCTCGGGGCATTCGAGTGAGTGAGCTACGTCGCTCGGTCAAGAAGCTTATGCGATCTTGGGCTTTAGGGTTTAGGGTTTAGGATTTAGGGTTTAGGGTTTGGGTCTTCAAGGGTGTGAAGGGGAAAAATCGGTACCCTAAACGCACCAGCATGAGAGAAAGAGCATTGGCACTACTCCGGCCTGTGAAGAAGGGGCACGCTGCAGTGCACAGTTGAAGAACTTGCTAACAACACGGTATGCTTGCACGACATGCGAGGAGCAACTGTTGAAGGGTTTGGGGTTCCCGAACCACAGCAGGTTCAGGTCGGAAGGGGGAGAACAAAACCCCAAGGCCCTCAACGTAAATCCAAAATTTTCTGTGCGCACCAGGTGTGCAGCCGCAGGCCATTACCCCAGCGCCACTCGGTTTTCTTACCAGATTGCCACTTTAGGGTTTCAGGGTTTAGGGTGTAGGGTTCAGCCCCTGAAGGCTTAGACAGTTGTAGAGCAGTCCCGACCGCGGAGTTCGCGATCAGATTGGCCTTCGATTGCCTTCGATTGTGCGTGGCATCTGTCAAGACGTCATTGCTAACCCTAAACCCTAAACCCTAAACCCTAAACCCTAAACCCCTTCGGTTCCCTTTCAAGATGTAAGGTTCCTCCGGAGCTGTTTGTCGGAGGCCGATGCCGCCCAGCTGGTGAAAGCCTTGCAGGCCATACCCCAAAGCCCCTAAGTAAACCCAAACACCGTATAATTATAAAGGGACCCTAAGGGAATACTACTAGGAACTATTCCCATGTTCGAGCGTGCTGGGTTAGGCTGAAACTTTTATTATCTTGGGCTTAGAGCCTTCTGCCCACCGCTCCGAGCGTGGCAATGTCTTGGTTTACAGGATCCAAGTTGGGAGAAGAGGCATTCCTCAGCTTGCCAGATCTGCAGCTTCATGCAGTCTATCATGTATGAAAGCCTCGGCTGAATCAAGCTGAGTCAGGCTGAATCTGAATCCAGCAATCAACTTGAACACGCCACGTGCTTCAGAACGTCTGAAATCTGACATGGGTTGTCAAGGGCCCCTAAACCTCATTCTCTGACAGTCTTTTTATGCCGCAGACCACACCGCCTTTGTGGTGTGTTTCAAGCATTTTCTCCGCACCCCGAACCGGTGATCTCACATGCTCATGTAAGTCTACGACCCTCACTCTCAGCTGAGTCCAAACTCCGGATTTTGGTAGGAGCATTCCGTCGTGGATGCCGAGGGTTTCCTGCTTGCAGATGCAAGGCCGGGGGTGTCGGGTTTAGGAGGGGGGCTCGCGAAACGCCCTGAGTTTGAGCACAGCGGTTGCCCAACAAAAAACCCACCAATCTCTCCGGATCCGAGAGTGTGGGGTGGGTTCCAGCATGGCTCGCTCCAAGAGTTTGAGGTCTAAGAGTCCTTGGGAGCTTGGCAGAGATTGGTGGTTAAGTGATGATCGGTGGTTCGGAGTTGCATCTTCCTGCTGCAGCGAAGCATCTTTTGTCCCACACGCCCCCACACCGGTAGTTGTTTAGCCCCATCTCATTTGGAAAGTGTCGTGGAAGGGATTGCAAGGTTCCTGATGATACCCGACGTCCGTTTAAGGAGAACTCAAGTAAGGAGGTGCCAGTGCATAGCCATGTCTGTGTTGCAATTGTACCAGTTTGCCCATGCTTGCGTGCCCTGCAACCTGAAGCGCCACCCAACACCTTGCAAGCTTGAAATCCCATCTCCCTTTCTCGCTAAAACTCCACAGTAGCACAGCCCTCACTGGCGCAGGGCCCGAGAGTGGGTACCCGCTGCCAAGGAGGCTTTGGGATCCAACAGCCGGATGCTTTGAAAGAGTTTCAACACAAAGCTTTCACTGCTGATTCAACCTCCTGCTTGTTGCAAAGGGACTTGCCTCCGAATACCCTCATCAAGCCATATCATGACGCATTTTGGAAAGGATCCGCATGCTCTTCAAGGAAAAGTCCATATTTCAATAAGAAAACCTCCAGGGGGTGGGACTCCCTTATGATAAGGACCCCAATAAGGGACCCTTAATTAATCTCGGAAACCCCCATATGGGGGTTTACGAAATAGGGGACCCCAAATTTTTCCCCATAGTAGGATTCCCTTGTAATAAAGACCCCTATAAGCTACCCCCCAATTTCGGAAACCCCAAACCCCAAACCCCAAACCCCAAACCCCAAACCCTAAACCCTAAACCCTAAACCCTAAACCCTAAACCCTAAACCCCCATATGCCTTGAACTCTTCGACCCACTCCCCAACACAAAGCGAGAGCTTAGGCCGGGACTCCTTCAGACCTGACGAGTCCTGCCTCGCAGAGCTGACGCTTCGCGGGTTTAGGGTTTAGGGTTTAGGGTTTAGGGTTTAGGGTTCAGGGTTTAGGGTTTAGGGTTTAGGGTTCAGGGTTCAGGGATGTGTGGCCCCGGGTTTTGTTTCGTACTTGGCAAAGTGAGCAAAACTTGGGGCTGAGGAGTTGAAAAGGTGGGGGAGGGGTCCTACAGTTGAGCAGTTTGGACCAGTTTGGAGTTGGAGTCTTGGGTGGTTCGGGGTCTCAAGTCGACATGAGTTTCTCCCTGCACGTTGGTGGGTTTTCCCCTTCAGCCCAACTTGGTTGTTGCAGATTTCTGGAAGTGTCTTCAAACTCCCGGCTCAAGCAGCAGGGTGATCTGAAGAAGTTTTCGCTTTGTATTCAGGTTTTTGAAGTGCCTGGCCTACCCCTAAATCCTTGCAATATACGTCCTCAAAAGATACGCGTCCCTTCGAGGATGAACGTCGCCTGGGCTAAGCACGAGTTCTCCTCTCAATTCGTGCGGCGCCCATGCTTTTGTTCCCAGGAAGGGGGCTTGGCAACCATCAATGGGGGACGGTCGGGCTTTGTTTCTGTTGATGCCGGGAGCCCTCATCCCCTGTCCCAGTTCTTCAGGATCGCTCCCTAAACCCTAAACCCTAATCCCGTTGAACATAAACGAAGCTCAGGTGCCCCCGCAATGTCAGTAACAGACTATTTAGTAGCATCAGCTTGTTGTTGAGGGCCCAAGCGTCACTTAAACCATCCTCCAACCTGAAGGCTAAACGTGGGATTGGCAAAGCTAGGCTTTTTGTTGTGACTTTGTTTCAGGTCTGCCCCTTGTGGTCGCTCGAGTCCGGGAAGAAAAGGCACTTAAGATCAGCCGAGAATCAGGAGTGCAGGAAATCACCAACCTTCACATCTGAGTTCGGCGCTTTAGCTGCCTCGGATGGCACGGTTTGTGCAGGCGCTTCCTGGTAGATGCTTGTTTCCGGCATGGTTGACAGTGGTGTTGCTGCTGGAAGATTGTGTTGCACGTTGAGGACCGACTGTCGCTGAAAGGCCGGCAAGGACGACAGCAATCTTTAATCCATTTTCTGAGGCCGTGGACTACACCGAAGATCACTGGAGATGATGCGTTAGCATGTCTGGGCACAGTTTCCGTTATGGCACTCGTGTGTAGGCTGCTCTCGGCACGTCTGCAGCTAGACTTCGGTGGGTGTCACCGGTGCAAAGACGCACATGGCAAAGCTGAGCCGGCCTGTAAGAATGGAACGAGTCATGTTGAAAGTGTGCACATGCGCAGAAGAGCTCAACGCCCTTCGTCTGGAAGCGGTGAAGCCCCTCGGGTCAGTAGCCGCGTGTGTCATTGGAAGGTCCAACATCTTCTGCAAGACCATCAACTCTGTCAGCAGAGAATCAGGAGTGCAGGAAATCACCAACCTTCACATCTGAGTTCAGCGCTCTAGCTGCCTCGGATGGCACGGTTTGTGCAGGTGCTTCCTGGTAGATGCTTGTTTCCGGCATGGTTGACAGTGGTGTTGCTGCTGGAAGATTGTGTTGCACGTTGAGGACCGACTGTCGCTGAAAGGCCGGCAAGGACGACAGCAATCTTTAATCCATTTTCTGAGGCCGTGGACACCACCGAAGATCACTGGAGATGATGCGTTAGCATGTCTGGGCACAGTTGCCGTTATGGCACTCGTGTGTAGGCTGCTCTCGGCACGTCTGCAGCTAGACTTCGGTGGGTGTCACCGGTGCAAAGACGCACATGGCAAAGCTGAGCCGGCCTGTAAGAATGGAACGAGTCATGTTGAAAGTGTGCACATGCGCAGAAGAGCTCAACGCCCTTCGTCTGGAAGCGGTGAAGCCCCTCGGGTCAGTAGCCGCGTGTGTCATTGGAAGGTCCAACATCTTCTGCAAGACCATCAACTCTGTCAGCAGAGAATCAGGAGTGCAGGAAATCACCAACCTTCACATCTGAGTTCAGCGCTCTAGCTGCCTCGGATGGCACGGTTTGTGCGAGTGCTTCCTGGTAGATGCTTGTTTCCGGCATGGTTGACAGTGGTGTTGCTGCTGGAAGATTGTGTTACACGTTGAGGACCGACTGTCGCTGAAAGGCCGGCAAGGACGACAGCAATCTTTAATCCATTTTCTGAGGCCGTGGACACCACCGAAGATCACTGGAGATGATGCGTTAGCATGTCTGGGCACAGTTGCCGTTATGGCACTCGTGTGTAGGCTGCTCTCGGCACGTCTGCAGCTAGACTTCGGTGGGTGTCACCGGTGCAAAGACGCACATGGCAAAGCTGAGCCGGCCTGTAAGAATGGAACGAGTCATGTTGAAAGTGTGCACATGCGCAGAAGAGCTCAACGCCCTTCGTCTGGAAGCGGTGAAGCCCCTCGGGTCAGTAGCCGCGTGTGTCATTGGAAGGTCCAACATCTTCTGCAAGACCATCAACTCTGTCAGCAGAGAATCAGGAGTGCAGGAAATCACCAACCTTCACATCTGAGTTCAGCGCTCTAGCTGCCTCGGATGGCACGGTTTGTGCGAGTGCTTCCTGGTAGATGCTTGTTTCCGGCATGGTTGACAGTGGTGTTGCTGCTGGAAGATTGTGTTACACGTTGAGGACCGACTGTCGCTGAAAGGCCGGCAAGGACGACAGCAATCTTTAATCCATTTTCTGAGGCCGTGGACACCACCGAAGATCACTGGAGATGATGCGTTAGCATGTCTGGGCACAGTTGCCGTTATGGCACTCGTGTGTAGGCTGCTCTCGGCACGTCTGCAGCTAGACTTCGGTGGGTGTCACCGGTGCAAAGACGCACATGGCAAAGCTGAGCCGGCCTGTAAGAATGGAACGAGTCATGTTGAAAGTGTGCACATGCGCAGAAGAGCTCAACGCCCTTCGTCTGGAAGCGGTGAAGCCCCTCGGGTCAGTAGCCGCGTGTGTCATTGGAAGGTCCAACATCTTCTGCAAGACCATCAACTCTGTCAGCAGAGAATCAGGAGTGCAGGAAATCACCAACCTTCACATCTGAGTTCAGCGCTCTAGCTGCCTCGGATGGCACGGTTTGTGCAGGCGCTTCCTGGTAGATGCTTGTTTCCGGCATGCGAACAATGGTTGACAGTGGTGTTGCTGCTGGAGGATTGTGTTGCATGTTGAGGACGCCTCATGCAGCCCGCCAGGCGGCTGGAGACTCTGAAAGCCATCCCAAAGCCCCTACATCCCATACCGGGAACCGACGGCTGCACTGCAATGTGGGCGGGGATGGGCCTCGCACTCGCACTACGAATCAAAAGGAGCAGATGATTTTTCTAATATTCTTCCCACATCTTCCCACCTTCAGAGAAGGTCTCATACTTGAAGTCCTAAGCAAGACGAAGCCCAATATCCCCAGCTCTTCAACCCCAGGCGAAGGAGATCTTCGACTTTTGTGAGGGCCAGGAGCCTCCAGTTCCTGCTTTGGCTGAGACGTCGTGGCCTCAGGTCTTGTTGGCCTTGAGTCTCGGGTTTCACCCTCAACAACCTGGCAGCTACTAAGAGCCTTCCTCAGTCCCCCCTTTATGTCAAGTGCAGAGACTATACGATGCAGAGTGGGCCATGGCTGTTTTGTTCGTTTGTGGTGTGGCTTGCCCTTTTTGTTTTTGAGGCGTGCCTCAGGTTTTCCATGACCCTCTGGTCCTCCGGTCCTGGGTTTTTTGGTCCTCTTTTTGAATGACACCTCCCTGGGCCCGATTTGAAGAAGTCAACGCGGCTTCCGTTGACTGACTGCTGAATGCTATTGGGCTCTAGACTGGATCAAGGCACAGCTGCCCAGAGTTGCCCTAAACTATAACCCTAAACCGTGGGTATGTGCTGCGGATTGTTGGGGAATAGGTTGACTGTGATCGGAATCCGGCTAAAATAGACCCCAAGTTGTATCATTGATTTTCGTGAACGGCAAAGCGGAGCTTTGGCTCTGGAATCCGGAGGAGTGGACTTCGGAGTGAGAGGAATTGGTTGGTAAAGAGATCAAGACCGCGTAGTAATGACGAACACTTCCGAGTACTACAAAATAGTGGGGAGAGTGGTGCCTTATCAGGCACCTGCCAGGGCTCTGTTCCCGACTCTGTGCCCGATTCTTCGCGTCACGGAGCGATACAAGCCTCGAAAATTTGAAGTGCACGGGCCTAGCCGAGAGCACGACTTGTCATGTCGTGTTGCGACAAAAGTTTAGTTTTATTATGCAGTACAACACACCCAATCCCCGAGTTGAGCCACGCTTGGGCGAGATCGCGATTTCCCACGCCTAGGGTGAGGTTACACATATGCAAAAATGACCTGAGCCACATTTCAAACACGAAACGGCCCTCCGCCCGTCCTGCTACACCTTAAAACTGAAACCCCTGCCGCATTGCAGGCATGGAGCAAGAACTTGGGAGACTCGCTTCGGGCAGATGGAGGCTTTGCCGCTGCAAATTTGTGATTGTCTGGCCAGGAACAATCTGTACGTGTGTGCTGCCTGTGGCCGCACAATTTTTAGGCAAGTATTGTCAAGCATTTGGTTGCACGGCTGCATTGCCGAGCAAGCACTATTTGTGAGGACTTTTGAATTTAGGCATGAGGTTGAGATCCGCATAAACGGAGCCGCAGCAGCGTTATCGCAGCAATCGGCTTCCTGCACGGTTCAGACGTACGGTCACGGGTCGGATTTGGTAGGTCGCGAAGGCTCACCTACACCCACACCTTTTGCTTTGAATGGGAAGTTCTTTGCTATGTGTTCGGAGACCGCGGCCTGAATGTCGAAGCTGGCCTCGGCTCACATATTCGTGTAACAGGGAACAGGAGAAACATTTTGTCGAGGCGTAGGCCGACTGACTTGGCTCGACGAACGAAAGCTCGTCTTTGCGCATTCCGTAAAGCGAATAGGGAATGCATCTAGCCCACTGTTCGCTCTGAGAAGTGGGTTGTCGGGCTTTAGCACGTGCAGCAACATGCCGCTTGAGTCCAATAGTTTTGGAAAGAAGAGGAAGGAGTGTGTTGGAATGCGTTCTTCCCCAACTTCTCCTGCACCTGAGAGCAGTTGCATCAGTGGACCATGCGCACGAGGTTTTCGAGTTCGGCGCCGCCCCCCAGCCGCTGGCCATTGCACTGCCTGGCTGCTGCCCTGGTGAGGGCTGGGGGAAACCCTAAACCCTAATGTTGACCACAGTTGTCAATCCGCCCGTCTTGAGTTTGTTGCAAAACTAGTTTTGAAGAATGAAGGTCGAGCGAGCCTGAAGACACAACACAGGAGAACAGGATGCAGCAGCACCATGCCAGCATCACGAAAAATCGAAAACCATGCCACTTTCGAGATTCGAAGATACGAAAATTATGTGGTGGTAGTCATCGTCGCCATCGTCGAAAAGGATGATGACCACAAACATCACTGCCGCTGACAACTTTCGTCCCCTCCAGAGCTTTCATGACGGGCTTCAGGTGGTGAGTTCTTGCAAAGGATGGGCGCCGATCTGCCATTTCCAAGTCCAAGTCCCACGCTTACACAACACCGACAGAAGCGACCGAGGGAAACGAACTCCCTTGAGAAACCTCTCCTGTTGTTTTCGGGAAAATGGCAAGCATTCAACAGTGACATCACGTGAAGCTCAGGGTCAAGCGGCCTCGAAAGGCTTCCAGGGAGCTTAGAGCACATAATCCTTCTCAGCGGTCAAACAGTGTTAACCCTATCGGTAGAAGCAAGAAAGGCTTTTCTGCTCTCACAAAGCATCGCGAAGCCATTTGTGTCCTTGCTGCCCCGAACAGCATCATATCTTCAAGCCCAACGGCACATCTCGATGTTTCGCATGCTGACTGTGCGCGTGACTGTAGTTGAGGCATGAATCCGAGCCTCGTCCACGAGTTTGACCCCATTGCAAAACGCTTGGCGAAGGACGCGGGAATCTCGCGTATAGGACGCTGAATCGACTGCTGGTGCCCATGGCGGGGTGAGGACTGCGTTAGTGGATGCAGAGCCTGGGGCTGGGCTTGTATTTTGACACCTCTCGACGACTTTCTGGATGCTGTCAGGCGACAGAAGCCTTTCCGAAGTTTTGGGAATCTTCATGCTGGAGACAACACTGCAACAAGACGTGTCCCGACCTAGAGAAGCATCCTTGCCCACTGGCAACCAGAAGCACCGTCTTGCACAAGTCCATAGATGTGCAAATTGAATACGGAGTACGGCCTCATAACTTGATAGCCATCTTTCTGAACACAATTCCTGTACGGAGAAATTTGCGGTACTGAGCTCTGCCCTTCACCGCTTGCCACATTCGTCGTCGCAGAGACTGTTGAAACCAACATCTTTGGGAGGTGCTGCTCAACCCTGAATCTGCCCTGAACACCTTGTTTCCCAGAGAGCCCAATACCCCTTAATTAAGGAATAGAGCTTAAATTATAAAGGAGGATTTGATTAAGGGGTATTGGCCTCTTTGGGTATCCTGTTTCCGAAGCTCGAGCCTTGTATACCCTTTGCCGACCATGGCAAAATATGAAAGTAGAGGACTGTGATCTTTTGGATCTTAAAGTCCCCTGCAGTTGTACCCGCATGAGCGCTTAGAGATGGTGCTATGAAATAGGGACGGTCCTGAGAACTTGTGGAGTATGAGTTTTTGGCTGGTGGTTTTTGTGGCAGGAGGGCTATCACGTCCTCCTGCCGCATCTGCACGCAAATCCGAAGACAAGGTCGGTGGGTTTTCGGGCTTCAGGTTCCAGACATTCCTGCAGGTCGGGAAATTCTGGGGTCGGACGAATGGTAGTCCCTCATGGCCGCTGTATAATTCTACTATAACGGCCCCCCCAAACCCTATTCTACTTGTGAAGGCCCCTATATTACTAGCACCAGAGACGTCTCAAACATTCTCGAACCGTGGCTAGGCTTTGAAGGGGTCCCGTCAAAAGAGATTCGCAGAGCCTGTGATCTAAGTCTTGGACGCCAGCATCCGAAGTGCAGGGTCCCATGACAAGCTTTAGGGTTTAGGGTTCAGGGCTTAGGGGTTTGGATTATTGAGACCAAGGCGGTGTTTCGGTGCTGGGCCATTGGGGGTCGTGAGAGCAAAAAGTCAAGCGCCCAGTCGCGAAGCGTGAGAGGGACTTGACAAGAAGACCCTAAACCCTAAACCCCTAAACCCCTAAACCCCTAAACCCCTAAACCCCTAAACCCCTAAACCCCTAAACCCCTAAACCCCTAAACCCCTAAACCCCTAAACCCCTAAACCCTGAAGCCCTAAACCCTAAACCCTAAACCCTAAACCCTAAACCCTAAACCCTCAGTAATGCAAGAGTGGGCTCCCAGCCTGAGCCATCAACATGTTGGTATCAACTACTATTTGCTGAAGCACCCCCCAAAAAAGAAAAGAAAAACAATACCCTTCTTACTCCTATTATAGGGAATGTTACCAAAAAAACTTTTTCGGGGTTCTTAAGCAAACAGTAGTCAAGGTTCTTGCGCCCGTTGACTGCGGATTGACAGTTTAGGGGGGCTAGCACGGCTGGAGGTAAAGTTTTTGTGTGGGACGGCTCGCCCAGGAGGTCTGGATGCGCCTCCCACTCCTCCAATGCGGTTTAGGGTTTAGGGTTTAGGGGTTTAGGGGTTTAGGGGTTTAGGGGTTTAGGGGTTAGGGGTTTAGGGGTTTAGGGTTTGGGGTTTAGGGTTTCGGGTTTAGGGTTTAGGGTGTAGGGTGTAGGGTTGGGATTTAGACCATCTTGCTAGCGTTCGGCAGGCGCTGGTTGATTACCGATGCATGTGAAGTTTCCTTCCGGTCGCGTGCCTTACGCGCATGGAAACAGCTGAGCATATGGCAAGTGGGGCAGCCTCCCTCCTGTCAGGACTTGCCTCTGTGCTTGGTTGGGGTTTCTGGTTAGGTTAGTCCTGGTCTCCCCTTTCCCCGTGCATACACTCGGAGTCGACCTCCGTATGAGTGTTCTTTTCCTTCCTTCAGTCGCAATTCGACCATCTTCGGTCAGGATTGGGGCTGTTACCAAATATTTATAGGGTTGGGATTTAGGAGGGCTTGCGGGCGTTCAGTTGTAGAGGCTAGAGTCGAGTCTAGAGATGATTTCAAAGCTAAGGACCCCGTACCCAAACATTCCTGCGTCACGTCTCTTAACATGGCGACTCCTTCACTTGGCCGCAGGCCTGGGCAACTTTCTGTGCAGGGTTTGGAGGGAGTGCTCCAAGACTTGCCACTCGGATTTCATAGTATACTTGGGGAGCGCGGGTGACAGATACGCAACAGTGAAACATGTCGCGTCCAGGTCCTTGGTGCCTGCAATCAAAAACAGAGAGGATGATGATAGGCAGCCCAGAGACACAATTCGGAAGCGACGCGATCCACTTCCCCATCTCTGGAGTCTGTACGAACCCAAGAAGAGATGCAGGGGGACAAATGGAGATTGCTGTACGCATGCAGACCTTAAATGACATCAGTTTGCACTCAAAAACCTAACCACTGCTCTGCGCCTGGACCTTTCCGAACCGATGTTTCAGCACGGGGTCGTGAAGCCGTGCTGCCGTCAGTCTTGACGTTTACCTAGTGCTTCGAAGAAGGCGCGGCTTCTAAAACTGGCATGGCGCGTCCGAACAACTCCGGAACAACGGGCATTGCATGGCATGCGGACAAGTTCGGAGGGAGCCCTAAAGTGATCTCTCGTTTGAGCATGGAAGCTCGGTTGGTTGAGCGAAAACACATGAGAAAGTGGCGACCGAACGTTTTCCGAGTTTGGACATTGGAAAGTGTTGCCAGTGCCCGCGGGGGGGGGGGGGGGGGGGGGGGGAGGGGGGGTTGGGAGAAGGGGGAGGCGGGTGTCTGAGGGTTGGTTCCGCTTGAGGTCCAAGACTGTCCAAGACTGTCCAAGACTCTTCCAACAATACCAGCGTTGCAGCATTTCGTGCCCAACACGAAATCCGGCAGCGACACCCTCAAGCTTCGAAGCAGTGTAAGCCCAATCTGTAACACCTCAAGTCCTTCCAAAAAATGCACCCTCTAGCCCTTCAACCGTTCAAGCCCAAAAACATTGCACCCTGAGTCCCTTGCACCGATGCATCCCAAGGTTGGTGTTTAGGGTTTGGGGTTTGGGGTTTAGGGTTTAGGGCTTAGGAGGGTTTAGGATGGTTTAGGGTTTAGGGTTTAGGGTTTAGGGTTTAGGGTTTTGGTGTTTCCTGAAGCCCTTGAACCGTTGAAGCCCAAACATACTGTGCCCTCAAGCCTCAAGACTCCAGAATCAATAAGCCCAAACACCAACCTCAAGCCCTTAAGAAGTGCAAGCTCAAAGTAGCTGTGGCACACTCAAGCCCTTCAAATCTGTAAGCCCAAGCTGTTTTTTCTCAACCTTTCGGGCAAAAGATGCCCATGCTGTACTAGCAGAGCCTTCTGAGCCGAAATCCGAACACAAACAAGACCCGCAGCCGAGCCCAAACAAGAGCCTAAGATCACCATTACCGTCGGAAAACAAAAAAATGGATCTGCATACTTGCAACGCCGGACGCCGGATGACAAACACAAACCCTTAAAAACGTGTGTTGATGAAACAATCGCCTCGAAAATTTCCCAGGTTGCGCGGCGTTGGCTCTTCAAACTACACCTAGGACAAGTGTTTTGGCCCTTGGGGCTTAAAAAAGACATGTGACACAGCACAGGTTCCTTCGCGGGGCACTACCTAGTTTTTGAACGCAGTTTGCAGGAGCAGCCGTCTACAAAGCGTAGTTAGGGAAGGGGGCTGGCATGGGCATTGTTGGACAACGCCCGAGGTCTCTGAAGTACATCAATATGGGCATTTCAAAATAGCATCTTCCGTAGAATAGGAGCCCCCAAGACGGTACCCGGGTACCCCTGCGTTCGGAAACCCCCATGTCGTTACCCTAAACCCTAAAACCTAAACCCTGAACCTTTTGAGTTCCATACCACGCTCAGGCTACAGGCGAACGGCTACAACCAGGTTGCCATCCTGCTGGGCAAGTCTTGGGGAGGCACCACCCGAAAGTCCTGAAAATCGCAAGAATGGTTCAGGGTCAGAGTCGTTTAGGGTCTCGGTCTAGGGTTCAGGGTTTAGGCTTTAGGGTTTAGGGGTTTGGGGTTTAGGGTTTAGGGCTTCCCTCAGAATGTCTTCTCCTCAAACCGCATGGACTGGGAAGTCAGGGTGCCGCTTCCTTGTGAATTTGCCAGAGGAGGTATGGGGCGGGCGATGCTCGGAGGATGATGATTCACTTGCCAAGTGGAAACGAATGAACGGGTTTTGGACCATGGATGCCCTTCACACTTCTTAGGCTTCCTCGTTCCTGTCTACACCACATTCAAGGGCTCTTGTGATGTCCACAGAAACACCTCGATTTCCTATATCGTTCATGGCAAAATGCTAGTTGGTCAAGGAAAAGCCTGTACTACTTTAGATTTCAATACGAAAGGAAGAAGGAAAGGAAGGACACATGGAACGACTCGAAGGAAAGAAAGGAGGAAGTTGCTATCAAATGCCGCGAACATTTATCAAAGACTACTTAGTAACCTTATGCAGTTTTCGGACATTGGGATTAAAAGGGAAGCGCCCGTAGCCGCCAGGAGTTCCTGGCCCAAACTTGAAGAAATCCACTCCAAGCCCATTCCTAAATTGGGGTATAAGCACCCTAACTTAGGTTATAAGTCCCCTACCCCCTAAACCCTAAACCCTAAACCCTAAACCCTAAACCCTAAACCCTAAACCCTAACCCTACAGCTCTCCTGTAAGGCGGCATGGCCTCGTCGTTGGCCAACAGCGAAGCACTCAAGGTCCACAGGGAGGGTGCTTGAGGGGGCTGCTTGCAGAAACTTCTGCGTTTCACGCGGCCCAGGATTTTCTGCAATAAGGGTTTAGGGTTTAGGGTTAGGGTTTAGGGTTTAGGGTTTAGGGCTTAAGATTGCTGAGTCTACGCCTATGCAGAAACCTAGTCGGGGAGTGTAGGTTTTCTATGTTTGCGCTGTCGCTGTGGTTGCTGCTGTTGTTGTCATGTTTCCATATTGTTTATGAGATCATGCAGATTACTAATCAGACCATTATGCTGGGCACTAGCTTGCCTTATATTGGATTAGTGCCCCACTCGGCTTCCAATGCAATGTGGACAATCACAGGCACTTAGCCACAGTCGTTCGTCTTCGAGACCCTGGAAGCACAGTTCACACAATGGGCCACGACCTCACCAAGCAACAGCCCTCGCTGAACAAAAAACAGGGTTTGGGGTTTAGGGTTTAGGGTTTAGGGTTTGGGTTTAGGGTTTAGGGTTTAGGGTTTGGGGTTTGGGGTTTAGGGTTTAGGGTTTGGGGTTTAGGGCTTAGGGATGGTTAAACAAGTGTTGCCTGGATCATGTGTCAACAGGGCTGAATTTCGGATGCTGCCCGTGGCGTGAATCAACCCATGGTCATAAGCTAAACCCTAAGCCCTAAATCCTAAACCCTAAACCCTAAACCCTAAACCCCAAACCCCAAACCCTAAACCCTAAACCCCAAAGCACTCTAGCCCTAGCCTCTGCAGCCCCGCGCAGGTGCAAAAACTGGTGCTCGTGGCGCCGGCACGGTCTGAACCTTCATCTTGGCGGGGGCCCAGATGGGTCTCTGCGAAGATGATTTTGTTAGGGTTTAGGGTTTAATTAGGGTTTTGGGTTTAGGGTTCAGGGTTCAGGGTTCAGGGTTTAGGGTTAGTTCGTTTTGGGTTTTGAATGTTGCGACTTCTTGGGTTCAGGATGTTCGGTGGGGTGTTGCAGTTCCGGTCCTCAAAGAGAGAGAACGAAAAATGTGCTACTCAACGTGCATTCCGTAGGAAACTGGGTTCGGATGTTTAGGGGGGGGGGGGGGGGTGCGCGTCCGTCATGTGTGAGTTGTGACTTTCTTGCGACGGTGCACCAGAGGCCAGCCTCCCTTCCGGTGGCCCTTTTCTGGGCCGAGGATGATGCTACGGCGCGGGCGACAGCCTAAACCCACAACCGGGTTGAAAAGGTTTTGGGTTTAGGCCAGTGAAAAAGGATGCAGATGTTACTCTTGGATCCTCATGTGCTTGCGTGGAATTGTGAGAGCACCGCTCGGTTTAGGGCAGTTGCGGACATCAAGGCCTCAAATCTGAACTTGGCATACGCATTGTTCAGTTCTCGGTTTGCTAAGCTGTTAGAGGTATTCTTTGGCTCTGAATAGCTGGGTATGCAACTTTGTTTCTTGCAGAGGCCAGCCCTCATGGTTTAGTGTTTCATAGGCGCATTCAGCAGCGAGCAGCGTATGGAATGTGTCCCGCAGGTCCCTTTGCCGACGTCGCCGAGTTTGCGGAAGCAACGTGGCCCGAATAGTCTAGAAACGTACTTGGTTACAAGCATGGCCCTGGCAGCAATGCAAAGTCTCGTTGAACTCATCAACGCCCCAAAGTTTTGATATGTCGGGATGCGGGGATACAAAGGCTCATGTTGGATGCACAGATAAGTACAAGTCTTCAGCAGCCAGATTCTATTGCATTCTGCGGGGTCTGGCTGTATACTATGGTGTATACAGTGTACCTGGTTTCAGAAAGCCCATTCGACACCAAGACTTGATTTGACTTGAACTAGTCCTGTTCTCGCTCTAAGGACATATGCTTTTTGGACGAGTTTTGTTCATACTGGCTTGGGAGTAAATGTGCTATGACGACGGCCCCGCAACTGCAGAGATACGGAAGTGTAAGGTTGAGGCTTTCTAAGTTTAGGTTGAAGTCCTGAGCTTTAGTACGAAGCCCTCTACCCGAGAAGCCCAAATCTACACCCTAAACCCTAAATCCTCACACCCAGAGCCGCAACAGAACCTACCTTGGCCGCGTCTTAAGGCGGGCACAGCTCTTCCACACAGAGCCCACAGGCGCATGGATGACAAGCTTGCTGTTTAGGGTTTAGGGTTTAGGGTTTAGGGTTTAGGGTTTAGGGTTTAGGGTTTAGGGTTTAGGGTGCAGGGTTTAGGGTTTAGGGTTTAGGGTTTAGGGTTTAGGGTTTAGGGTTTATTTGGGGTTTAGGGTTGGGGTTGGGGTTTGGGGTTTAGGGTTCAGGGTTTAGGGTTTAGGGTTTAGGGTTTAGGGTGTTGCATATTCTTGGCGGTTGTCTGTACATTTTTTTGGTTGTGCTGCAAGCAACTGCCAGGTGGGTTTCCAACTTCGATGAGTAGCTTTTGGGTGAAATGAAGTTTTCGTTGTTGTGCTTCGTGATCTTGTTCCAGACATTCCTGAAGAGAAGCATGTAAACGCATCGGTAGTCACCAATGCCCTCTGTATCACTCCCTTTCCGCCTCTTCCTCTCTCGCTCTCTGACTCTCTGTCTCCCTCGGTCTGCCTCCTCCTCTCAGGTTCTCGTCTTGGCAATCCGCGCACCTGCGTATACCAGCTTCTCTGTCTTGAAGCCGCCGTATCAGCCATTGTTTACTTGCTTGTCCTTCCTTCGTCTTTCCGTCTCCTCTTTCCTGGGGCGTCCCTCTGTCCGTCTTTCTGCCCGTTGATGCATTCTGTTCAGATGTCACAAGAGACATCGGCCGGCTCTGTCATGGATGCACCTGAATTGTCATTGTGGGTTTTGTTGTCTACACCCAGACACCCTTACATGAGCCTCTGTCGAGAACTTAGGGTTTGTGTGAGGCACTCGGATTTTACGCTGCCAAGCCTTTAAAGATGTCTGGGTCCCTAAACCCTAAACCCTGCACCCTAAACCCTAAACCCTAAACCCTAAACCCTAAACCCTAAACCCTAAACCCTAAACCCTAAACCCTAAACCCTGTGTTTAAGAATGAGCATCAGGTGGGCACCGTGTGCTTCCAAGCTACGCAGATCCCATCGCCCGCTTCGTTGGCTCTCCGGCTGCTGCCGAGGCACCTAGACCTAAGGTTTAGGGTTTAGGGTTTAGGGTTTAGGGTTCTTTTTTGGGATGAGTCTTTTGGAGTGTTTGTGCATGTGCTTGTGTTTGTGCTTGTACTTGTGTGTTGTTCGCTGCCGTGCCATGAGAATCCGTTTCCCTAAAGCCGGTATAGTTGGACTGGTTTGAGGTGATCACTTTGCTGGCAGTGTGTTCACACTTCTGATCTTCGAACTGCTGCGACCGATCGTGTCCTTTTCTGCTTGAGATCGATCTGTCCACGGCCCGCGCATTTTCCTAAACTGGTCAGGAAAAGACTCGGCCTGGTCCAGGGGAGTGTGCTGTGTTGTTCCGTCCTCCTCCTAGACGCTTCGTGCTCCCGATCTTTGCTCTTGGCGCATTTGGGTGTGACTGCTTGGGGCGAGGCACTCGTGAAGAGTTGTCAGGGGTTGCAAGCCGTTCGGTTGTCGCTTTCGCGTATGTGAAGTACTCGATCGCAAGCTCTCTGTGTTTAGGAGCGCCCGCTTACTGCAGGGCCGAAAATGCAAGCGGCAACGCAGTACAGCCTGAGCTCTCAGATCCATCAGAAGTTCCAGCCTGTTGCGACCATCAGAAAGCCATCCATGGTTTGCCTCGTTTGAAACATCATCCTAGTGCTCCGGACTTTCTCAAGAAGCACAGGCCGAGACAAAGGGCGTGTCGTTTGTTTTTTGCGTCTCAAAGTTGCGAGGCATTTTACTTTTTCCAGCCGCGCCTGGCTTTGCCCTACATCACCATGAGGGGCTCTTATTTTTGTGCGTGTTTAGAGGCGCTTTGAACATGTTTTGGACGCATTGAAAGGCTCTGGAGGCTTCATTCCGTGTTAGGGCTGAGTTTGGGCACCCTCTGGGGGCCGAGGCGTTTTGAAGGTGTTTTTAGTGCTCCGGATGCCAGCGGAGACCGGGCCTTAGAGGAGGTCACAGCAGCGAAAGAAGTTCTAGGCAGCCCGTCGTTGTTTCAAGAGAATGCCTGGTCTGGCAGGTCTGGACTACTTTTCAAACATTGCTCACACGAATTGCACAAAGGTTGTGGTGCCGTGGTGTTTTTGTTGCCCCTTGGTTTTTTTCGGGTTCCCGGCTTGACTTTGCTACTTGCAAAGTGGTCCCGGCACACTTAGGGGAGGGACTTACTCGGCTTGCCCCAAGACATGTAACATGCTCCTGGGCATCAACCCATAAAGAGAAAGAAAGACCGTCACAACTGAAGTCCACAGCTTCCTAAAGCCCCGACCCCTAAAAGACCCTCTGCGTCAGGTGGATGCCAAAGGTGTGCCAAAGAGCACGGGGCTTGGAGCTCAGATACATTCCAGCGCGAGCAGGCACCATGTTCAAAACTTTCCAAGTCGGACGTTTGGCGTTTTGGATTAGTGTAAGCTGACGATCCCATGGCCCTGACGCAGCTAGACGACGTTTACATGCATCACTACTCCACGCCGTACTCCAAAAGCCCGCCTGTGCAGTTTCTCATCTTTGCATTCAAGCCGGCCCTGAAGCCCTCCCTCTCTCCCTCCCTCCCCCCCACGCGAGACGCTCCCCCAGCGGTGGCGATCAACCTGAGACCCGAACTCCTTGCTGGCCAGCAAATTCGCACAACGGGGAATGGTGGTACGGGGGCCAAACTTGGCGCACTTGCCCATCCTGCTACCGGGGCGCGGATGCTCCCTCTCTTTGTGTCTCTTTGCTGCCAGCCACACATCCGAAGCCGGGACACATGTCAGTAGCTCAATAAAGTGTCAAGTAAGGGAGAGTTGTTGCTTTTGCTACCCACAAATCGCACAGACACAAAGCAGTTTTTACGGCGCGTTCGGCGGTGCCACCCGTGTACGTCGATACTGTGTATACAGGGCTTGTTGTGTGTCGGTGGGGTGAAGAAAAATCTCGTTGCATAATTCTGGGCTTTGCCTCCCCCAGCTGTTCGTTCATTCAAGAAGGCTACGTGGGAAGGGGACAGGATTCCTTCACGGATCCTAAAATAGGAACGACACGGAGAAGATGAGCATGGCACCTGTGCAAGGATGACACGCAAGTTTCCTGTGCCCCGCATCAACTTGCCAGTTCGACAAGGGTTTGCAAGCCCTGAGAAGTCTCCCCGGGCGCGCAGCCATCCAAGTGTCGACCATCTCGTTTAGCAAAGATATCACCGAAACCGATCGGACATGGATAAAATCGAGCTAGAGCGATGGATAAAAACTCCATACCCTGTCGTTACAGCAGCTTTGCCTTGGGCGTACAGTTCTCAAGCTGCACATCAGACAATTTTTCAAAGAGAAGGCACTCGGCACCAGGGGATGGAAAATAGATGCACAAACAGGAGAAAGCAAAGTCCACTGAAATTCATGTCTCGGCCGGGCTTGGGAAGAACGCTCTGGCTTCAGGGACGCAAGATCCGCATGTCCTGTGTTCGTGCAGCCGCACGATAACGGGATCTTAGTAAGTTCAGGGCTTTGCAATTCGGCGTTCCCCATGTCAACCTGAACTCGAAGTCGACATCAGAATCGCCCAGCAGGCGAGTTGGAGACTCGGGAGAATCCAGTTTTGACAAGGCCGGGCTCGGGGAGGTGAAGTCTGTGCCGGACCATTGTTGAGGTCGGTTTGTGCTTTCGAGGCGTTTCAGATCTGCAGGTGAGCTTCCAGGTGTAGAGGTTCGGAGGTTTAGGATGATGAAAGTTCTAGGCCTCAAGACTTGGGCGCTAAACATCCGAGCCCAAAGATACGCCGCAGATCGTACCATAGCCACCAAATTGGTACTTTCATCCCAGACCACTTGCAAACCTTTGTGCATGTTCCATCGTGCCCTTGAAGCCCTGGGTATGTTGGAGACTCACGCATCCAATCCAACAAAGTATATAATCCCTGTGAAATCTGAACTGGATGTACGTACTTCATGATGGTTATATTAATATTTAGCTTCAACTCGTTTCCTAGGTTCATGTGCTCCTTTCAGAAGCAAACTTTGGCACCCTCTACTTGAAAACTCTCGGCCCTCCTCTTCCAAGCTGACATAGACTCACATGGGGGGTTTGCCAAAAAAGGGAGCCCCCCAATAAATTCCTCCAAGTAGTAGGCTTCCCTTACTATAGAGGACCCCAAATAATAAGGCACCCCTAATTTCGGAAACCTCCACATGTTTCCGAACTACTTGGATTCAGGGTTCTGGCGCGTTTCGCTGTGAAATTCTAGGGTGGCCAGGTCGCCCGGACTGGCAGCATGCCCCGCATGACAGATTCCCACTCGCACGCGGACCAGCTGTGATGTTCGCAAAGAGCCCAATACCCCTGAATTAAGGAGTATTCCTTAAATCAGAATAAGGATCTCTTTAGAATTTAAGCTATATTCGTTAATCAAGAGGTATTGGTCTCTGGGTTCACTATGTGAGACCACCATAAGTTCGAACAAAAAAGGACAGAAGCGGCTGAAAAAGTGAGAGCCCAAGCAGTGCTTCACAACAAGCCTCTTCGTGTCGTGCGACGTTCTTGCAACGGCGCTAGGCTACATTCACAAAGTTCACACGGAAGCAGTAAACGCAACTCCAACTTAATGGCGTTTAGCAGCTTTGCATGTCGGAAGTCGGTGTGTAGGGCTTACAAGGAATGAAGTGCGTACCGATCTAATTGGCACATAACGCCAGGCTTTCAGTTCGTTGAGAACCAAGCAGCATGGTCCAGCAACCCCAAAGCCCTAGTGCAATCCAACATTGACCTTGCATGTGTAATTAGATGTTTGCGTCCAAAGGAAACCAAGCCAGGAGAGAGGACTGTTTCGGGCTGTTGGGCTGTGTGCCGTTTGTTTGCTGAACGTTTGCTTGCTGCGCGTTTGCTTTGGGTTGGGTTGTTTGCATTGACAGGACGCAACCGCCACAGTCTGACCCCCACCTGCGCCTAATCAAGAACCCCAAGCCCAAGCACTAAACCCCTCCTTTCGCTTGTACCCACACATTCACATAATGTCACACTAAAGGCATTGCGGACTCTAGGGCCCTAGGGTTTAGGTGGTCTGTCCCGTGTGTTGGGAGCACTCCACAATGTGAACCGATGGCAGGGGAATCCCGAAAGGTTCAAGTAGCTAGCTTAGCAGTTGACCCTACTTCATGACGTCCATGCAGAACTCCTCAAACAAGCTGCAAAGTAAAGCCCCATTATCCAGCTTTGGACTGCCACTCTCCCTCTCTCCCTCCTACTCTCTCCTCCCTCCTTCCCTCTCTTCCCCATTGATGGACATCTCTGAACATGCTGTATGGCAAATGCATTTACAAACTAAACCTCCACATCTGTGCACCCTGCACCCCAACCATCCCCAACCATTGTAT